ATATGTACGAAAGGTCGCCTCCGAGGGGATAAATCACCATGTCGAACATTGCATTTTTGTTCCTGCCTCTCGCGTTCTCTTCTCTTCCCGCTGTCCTACCTTTCGTGTCTCCCTCCTCTCAAGTTGTTTTGCAATGCGGCCCGCGGTCCCACATGAGAATGAGAGTCAAATCCATGCCACTTTTCGCGAGTGGCTCAATCGGATTCAGTTCAGAAATGGCTAGCGGCTAGCTGAGCTGATTGCCAAAGCCATGCTTCACTGATATTGTAGGATTGCTAAGTTGGCTTTTTGCATACAGGCAGCATTAACGTAATGCCACGCACTTACTGTCTAGATTTGCAGCTGGGTCAGGCTGCAGAAGAGCTGGACAAAGGCAGCCTCAACAGTCTCAGCAAGATACACCACAGAAAGGGAATTGAAAGGGAAACCACAGCCATGGCGCGATTGGCTGGGCCAATTGAAGCGGAGGGCTTAGATTGGACTTTTGTCATGGTCAGCAGCGGGCCGTTGCACGTAACGATCTTCAATGCAACAGAGGAGTGGATGGTTTAGTGTCAAGTTGGCATCCACCGTGCCAACAGCTTCTTTTTTCCAATTTGGATTTTCACTGAGGCCACCTCTGCCATGAGGAGGTGCGGGTGGACTACTGATTCCAAACACCCTCGAAGGTCCTGCTTTCTTTGAATGAGTTGACTTGATGGCAAACGTTCGCGCCACTTGAGTGTCAAGCTGCCGACAAGTTCAAGACTTGAACTTGTCAGCAGCTTGACACTCAAGGCTCAGCTATGGTTATGATTATATAATTTGGAATGCTTACCCACGACTACAACTGAGAACCTTCCCGGTCAACTGTTTTCCTCGATCATTTTGATCGTTTTCTTCATGCCGATGTCAAAAGTCCTTGGAATGTTTTGGAATTGTGACAGTGCCTTTCTTCCAGCCTCAAATGAAAGAGAGCAAAAGACACATAAAGACACTATATACTATATATTTGATTGCTAAAAGACCGTTTGGAGAAATACAAATTCCAATCCGAACAATGCAAAAGCATCGTGGCCTTGGACATTGAGGCAAACTTCCAATCGTATGTGTAAAATTCGATGTAATGTGTTCCTCATGTTCCTCCGGGGGCCTGGTTTCAAGAAGTAGCGTGTATATAGTCGGGATATCCCGGGTTGAAAACCAAGAAGAAGGCATCAGTTGAAGCATGTTGAAGCAAAAAGACTCCCTGCAAGTTTTGTGGGGCATGTTTGCCACATCATGCTTGGTAGTAGCTAGACTCTAGACCCTTCTGGGTACGTATCGTTGCTTCAGCTTGGGTCAAGGCCAAATGGCTATGGTGAGCGTACCATGCTCCCCGCAGCTGGGCAGCAGAGTGGCGCGCACGATGAGGACACATATACTTGGGATCACCAAGTATGTAAACAAGTGTGCCCGGAGCTGTTTCCACATGTCATGCACCAAGCTGTAGCGCATTGTAGCTGGCTTTAGTTGATGGTAACCTCAGAAGTGAGTGGCCAGATCGATAGGTTGATAGGCCACAATCTCAGGCCTTTTGGCCAGATGTCATTTGGTGCAGGATTGCCCCTGCCCAGCGTGTGAGACGCATCGCACCTTTCACGCCTTGCTGAGAGGGTGGCCCGGCTGAGCCTATTTGGGGATATCTAGCCTGTCAGACCATCTGAAAGGGATCATACTGGGACCATAATAAGATCCAAAAGGTACAAGATCAGCAAGTGACAGTTTACATATTACATATGTGCAAGGGCCAAAACACGCGCTGAAGAGTTCTTTACATAAGTCGCCGTGGAATGTCTAAGAATGTGCCTTTCTTTGTAAAACGATGGGAACCCTGAAAAACGATACCAGACAAGTTCATTTGTTGTGGCGTGATTGATTATATTCACTGGTATATATTGTCCGCTAGCAAGTTCAACATGCAAAAACGATACCCCGAACGATGCTTTTCGATACCCCAAACGATACCAGAAATCATCAAATATAGGGAAAACCCCAGATCCAGGGTCGCCCAACACAACTTTTCCCCAGATAGCTTCAAGTATAGGAAGAGGTGCTTGTGCGCTTTGGAGCCTGAGTGCTGGTGCTGCTGCAGGGTGCTGCTGCCAGATGTGTGGCTGCGCGCGGGTTGGAGCTTGGGTGCTGGTGTCGCTGCTCTGGTGCTGCCTACTCGTGTCTTTTGCTCTCAGAGACTCTGGGGTCTATGCTGGCGTCATTTCTGAGTAAAGTAAAGGCAACTGCAAGCTTGCAGCTCTCAGGGGAAGAAGGCCAATAATCCAGGGACCTCCCATACAGAGGATTCGATATATCATGAATTAACCAAAACAAGCTCCGCACTGTGTGAGACGATGGGAGCCCTGAAAAGCGACACCATGACCTTGCCACACATAATGAGTTTTGATCGTCGCACATATGTTGATATGGTTTTGTGCCTATGTGCCAATGCGGGTTGGAATTATTAGTAATCGACACAATCTATATTGTTGAATGACCGAAGCACGGCAGGAGTTGCAGCTGTAACGGGGAAGTATTGGGCAAGCTTCTGTCAGAATCACACCACGTGAGCTGTTGTGGGCCTTTGTAGCTGGGCATACATTTATTGAAGAGCTCCGCAGTCCACACATAGAGTTGAAAGACCTGCTTTGTGCTTTGCCAGGTCGGAGCCGAAGCCCAAGACAAAGCCCAGTCGCCCGTGCGGGATCTGAGATGCTCTTGGCACCCGGTCGCGTGACACAGACGCCGCGTCAGCACGGCCGGCCGGTCGCGTGGAGCGCCGAGGCGGCGGCCTGTGGCAGAGTGGAACTCCAGCGAAGGAGCTCCTTTGAGCCAAGATGGCGAAGAACGCCCAGCCTTGCGTCGTGGAACTCAGTGGAGTATGTTGCAGTGCACCATTTTGCTGGAAACGGGATAAAACTGGCCAAGAGATGCCCATGCACATCCTATAGTATGGTTTTTATCATGGGTTTCTTGGTGTACTGTATCCCCGGTTTTCAACAATGTTTTGAGCAAGTGCCGAACACAGGAAGGCAGGAAGGATCCGAAGGCAGGTCGCATGGCGATTGTGACAGGGTTGTGACATGGCGGTGGTCCAGGAGACGATAGTAGGCCTCTTATGTGAGACTAGGATGGAGATGGATGGAGGAGGGTTCACCCAACCCTGAGGCCTGATGAAATGGAAAGGTGAGGCCGAGGACTCGCTTTGGGCTACGAGATCGATGCAGTGACCACATAGGCATGCATTGTCCACCAGTCTCTACGCCGTTAAGGTGTATTGATGTAAATAACAATGTAAAAATATATCAATATCATTAGTTTGAGCTCAGTTAGCATGTTTGTTTTCAATGTCGTCCCAAGGCATGATATTGGACTTGTCGACTCAAGAGTTTGCTGGTAATATAGTTCATAGACCATGGACGATGGAAGTTTTTCCCTGGGTACGCGCAACGAATGGAAAATTGTTGAGCCTAAATAGCAAAGAGGGGCTCCGACATTGCCTTGGTAAACCTTTGTATATTGTTTTTTACTTTATACAATATTCAGTAGTTACTTAAATGAATTGAAGGTTTTTTGCAGCAGACAGACGAATACTTCCCGCACAGGCAGGCCTTTTGAACTTTTGATGGCAGACCCAGGAGCCTCGTCGCGCACGTCCATCAGTGCCACGACCGCGACCAAAAGCAGAGACTTGGTCAGCTGGAGTCTTTTGGTGTGTGGGTGTGTGGGTGTCTGTGTTTGTGTCTGTGTCTGTGTCTCTGCGTGTGTGTGTGTGTGTGTGTATGTGTGTGGGGGCATAAAGGCCTAGGTTCCTTTGATACTTACTTTGTGTCAACACCAGCTTTAGATGTATGTTTAATCGATTTGAAAAGCCAAAGGACAAAGCGTCACTCGCAAGCCAAAAAAAGATAATGTCACAATCCTCACGCGATGCTGTTCCCTTTTGTCCCGTGAGTTTGCATTTTCATTTGTTGTTGGGGTGTGAAAAGGAGGCCTTGCTTCCAAGTTGGATGTCAACCTCAGATGTGACAAGGAATGGAACTCCGACGTGGCACAGCCCTTAAGCTTGGAACTAAGAGGGAAGTGTGGTGACCATCAATGGATCCATTTCATGGATCTATTCCATACCTTCAGAACAGGCATCAACCGAAAGAAAGGAAGTTCAGGCCGCAACTGGTCCAACTGGTTCACCGCCACTGACTCTGAGAGTCGAAGTTTTGGGGGGCCCAATGAATTCCTAGTAGCGATGCCCTTTGTTCCTAGTAGCGAACATTGCTCCTAGTAGCCTCCAGGTGAAGAAATGCGAGACGCGGCTCCTCCATTCGAGGCTGGTGAGGAAATGCTTGTCGTTGGTTTCGCTGCAGGCGATCGACCCACGTGCCAGGACCGGACCACGCATTTGGATCGGACCCGGCCGCGAAGAATGGCACCTCGCTGGAAGCTCGGAGAGACGCAATGAGCAAGAGACAGCATGCACCACAGTGACCATCAAAGATCCATGATCTTAGCTGGATGCTTCATCTTCATTATAATCTATTTTACGGGATGTTTTGATCAGATGGCCAACCCCTGCCATTGCCTCATTGTGGCTCCAGTAAGAACGCCGTGAAAACAATCTGACGCCACGCTTCAGCTACTGTTTTATAGGTAGATGTTTGTGTTTGTTTTCAATTCATTCCAGAAGTGAGTGCAAGGATTTTGATTGTACGGAGCAAGGGGTCTACAACTGCTGAGTTCCCTCCTTGATTCAACTAGGCGACTGATAGCGACTGGATAGAACCTGCATTGGCGATCTAACTTAAATCAGGAGAAGGACAGCACCTTGAGTTTTCTCATTGGCACAATCTTATATAACAATACTTGCAACATTGACACATGGGATCCAGCAAAGAGAATTCTTAAGACTTTGTGGACCCAGATTTGCCAAAAGACCAACAAGACATAGCCAGAAATTTGTCGGTGGATTTTTGTCTATTTTTCGTCTCGCCATGGCTGTACAAGTTGATAGGCCGGCTTCTTGCAGAGTTTCACAACCACTGGGAAGGATCATGAGAAAATAACATCTATATAAATGGATTGATGCATAGCAATGGGAATGGGGCTGACTTGATACTTATTTGGGTAGCTGAGCAATTGGACACTATTTTGAGGATATGTCAGTCCGCATCAGACTCCTCCCATGCATGACATCGACCGGAGGCCAATCGAGCTAGAAGATCTCGATACCTTAAAAGCAGAGCTTCAGGAACTTCGGAAGGCACCGTTGTGCGCAGCAGGGAGGGTAGAGGGTACCTCAAGCTTGTGGAGTGCATGTCGCCACGAGCAGCTACCAGCTAGCGGTTGAAGATTGATGGTGCAGTTTTCAGTCCAAAAGCAATAACTGAGGTACACCTACTTAAGCATATGTTGCAAGTTGCAATTTCCTCAGGAGTGCTCCCAACTGGACTGCGAGTTGAGGACTGATACTACATGCACTGAACCTGCTGCCCATATGAATTTTAAGCATAAACAAGCGTCAAGCAAGAGCGATGAACATATGATCAACGTGGCCCATGGCCATTGGAATTCAGCATTTGTTTTGATGTGCCTTTTGAGCCGTTTTTCTATGACGTGAGTACTACCTTCATTAGCTCAATAAGTTACAGCCAAAATCAAGCTTGTTCCCTTGGCGTACTGGCTGTCGCCATCAACGACAACTTGTGCTAGTGGGAGCTTCATACAAGAGTGCCTGTAGTGTAGCGGCAACATGCCTCCCATGCTTGTGCCCCGGGCTTGACTCCAAGCAGGCGCATTGCACCATTATACGTTTTACTACCTTCAGCTGTACCTTGCGTGCAATAGCATGCGCAAAAAACAATATTATATATATACATATTATATATATATTTTGCATAGCCGAGCCTGCAGCCTGGTTTCGATCCGGCTATCGATGGCTTTTGGTGTCGTTGACGCCAGATCAATTGCCGCTGGGATTCTTGATTATGTGTCCCTGTTCTCCGACCTGGGCGGAATGCCAGGAGCACCAAGCGAAGCTTGTCAGCCGCCAAGGTACGGCAAGAGGAGCTGCAACAGAAGGTAGATCTTCGAGACTTGGTCCCACAACAGTTCTGCTTCGGTAGATCTCCAGAGCATGGCTCACTCCACGGGTCCACCTTCAACAATTGGTTGACAGTCGTTTTGTTTTTATGTTTGTTTTTTTTTTCAGGCCATATACGAGTTCTGTAGACTCCCAGGTTGTCACACAATTTTAAGATTTTTGGACAACAGCTTGTTAAGTCTATGTTTATGCCCATGATCGCAGCAATTAAGGCTGTGGGTTCGTTGCTTGAACAACTCAGTAGGCGCTTCGTGAGGTGTGCCTCCAACAAGAAGGGATAATTTCCAACCTCCCATCCACCTTGAAATTGCACCCCTTTTCCGCCTTTTCCACTCATTTCCACTCCACCACAGCCAGCCCAGGAGAAGCCGAAAATACAGAGATCTCCCAGAAGTTGGGCTCCGCTGAGAAGGAGGGTGGCCGTTTTTCCGCGAAGCGAGCCAAAGTGCTAAATATCACTGTAAGGAAGTTGGAGAAGGTCTTGGTTGCTTCACTGGATGTTTCAAGAAGAGTTTGTTTTTAGTGTGAGAGCATCACGAGATTGAGTTGCTATGGGCCTTGTTTGAACACTTCAGGACTTTACAGATCTTCAGCACTGGCGGCAAAAAACCAAGGAGCAGGCATCAGAATGGTCGCCTCGGCCTCCAAGAGAAGACGCTGGCATTTGGAAGGGGAATGTGCTTGGATCATTGCATGTACAGTATAGGTGCATAATGTAAGGCAAAAACTGTGACCAACTGCTGAAGCCAATCCAAGTTTGGAAGCTGCATAAACAAGCCGTGTTGAAATAGTGACGGCTTTGGAGTAACCGGCTGGTATCGAGGTTTCTTGGAATTTGTTCACCCATGCATGCTCATGGAACCAAACCGCAGGCACAAAAGGCAAAGGAGCTGCAAGAGGGTATCGAGATGCTCAACTGAGTAGTGAGACTGCTTGATTGCGTTCGACTCATTGCGTGGTCCTATCATGTTCTCAAGTATTGATGTCAATCAGGACCTGGACTAACTTTTAGCAGAGCTTTCGTTTGCCTCAGTTTTGCCAGGGATTCTGGGAGAGGGGAGCATTTGTTCATGGCTCGAAGGTGAATGCTGCGATTGAGTTAACATTGCAGAAACATGCAGAAACCACCTTGTTCACTAACTAGTATTCATGACTTTCATGACACTACTGAATCTCTTTTTTTTGCCACGTGTCTTTTGTTGCCGTGCATACTTCTCACATGACGCCGGACCCTTATAAGGACCGAGCGCCAGAACAGCGATGCGCGCATTGCTGAACTCCGACAGATGGTCCAGCGCCAAGGACGTCCCAATTCGGCTAAGGCGAGGGAGGGACATCAGGCAGCAATGGGAGAAGGCTCCAAGAGTTGTACTTAGAGGAAATTCAGCCTGCTCAAAGCCAGCTTTACATTCTGATCTGGTTTTTACATTTTGGATCATTTTGGCACGCTTTGGCGTATGGCGTATTTAACTGAAAGCACAGTGAAATAGAATACAGAAGGCAAGGATCCATAGAGAGATGTTAACTACTATGTTGGTTGGATAATGTTGGATAGGTATTTGGGGCATTTCGGCGCGGCCCCTGATTTCAATGACGTCATGGAACCAACAGAGCAAACAGTTGCGCAAACCCACACATAGGAATTAACATCAACTAACTACTGTATATAACTAACTCGACTCTAAAAATGAACACTAAAACGATGAAATCCGCCGATCCCGGACACCATGAACCTCCAACGTTCAGGCCGATGAGGCCGAGGAGACCCGACGCCGGCGCATCGCTCTGGACGACACATGTGGGCGGCTGCAGATCCTCCGGGACTGTCCGCAGGGCCAGGGGGAAACCAAGGGCGGAACTGTTCCGGCATGTAGAGAATGCGATGATATGCAATTTTGGGTGAGATTATTCAGGTTCGTACGATCAAATCAAAGTGTATTCCAAGACACTGTGTATGTGTGCACTGAGACTCTGCGTTGTGCAAAATTGGTGAACACACTGATGAGAACATAGCATTTCGGCCTCAACATCCCTTAACTGACAACTCATACATATCTTCTTCGTGCATTGCCCAAAGCCATAAAGGACTACATCTTGGGGTCTTTACCAGACATGGAGCCCAAAGAGCTCGAGCTCCTTCTCCAAGATGAGGAAGAGCACCCGAAGGCCTGTGATTGAGCGATAGTCGATGGGAACATTGGTCACCATTGAGCATGACGCGTGGTCTTATGATAACGGAGGAACTTTATTGAAGCCAGCAAGCTGCTGCAGCACAGTCATACGCACTTGTATGTGACATTATGTGACCGTTTTTTTAATTATTTCCCTTACCTGAAATTGCCCAAGAGATCCACAGCCACGATGATTGCAGGAAGACGACTCAAACATTGACACTGAGATTGCAGATCAGGTCATGAAAGATCTACAGCAGGAGCAGTTCGGCCTGCAAATACCCTTGCCAAAAAAACATGTAGTCATTCTGCTTCTCAGCAGGGCAGGAGTTTCCTTGATTGACAAGGCTTTTCTGAACGGCTGTATATATGGTTCATGGAGACCTGTGCATTGCTTGATGGATGCGCCACAAGGCCTGAACCAAGGGGCAAGCGCAATAGTCAATAGTCTTACTGTCCGTGCACCTAAGGCATGATAACGCCATCAAGGAACTCGTGGAGAGCGTCAACAGATCCTCGACAGTACTATAGAATCTTCCTGTTCCTGTTTGGAGACCCTCCGAGACTAGTTCCGTGAGTCTGTGAGGCTCGAAACATGGACGGCTTTGTTTGGATGAACTAAGAGGGCTCCCTTTTTGCGGTGGCATATCAATAATTGTCAAGAGAAGAACTGATCTCAAAAAGCCCGTCTATGCCCCGTCAAGATTGTCCTTGAGAGTGTGGACTGGATGGATTTTTTTTCCGTTCGGATGGTGTGGCAGGCTCACGCGGCCCGCTAAGGTTTGATCGACAAGAAGAATAACACATGGAAAAAGATCAATAAAGGTGCGCCGTCGTCTCGTTTTGAAGGCGCTTGAAAAGTTGTCATGCTAGATTCTTGGAGGTGGATAAATGCACAAAAGGTTCATTAAGGATTGGATGCTATTTTGGTTGTGAGTTCATCACCCCCAACATCCCCAAACTATACTGTTTGCTTCAGTGCGGAGGTATTTTGCCCTTGTGCCTTTTGAGACTTGAACGCTGTGCTCCACAAGATCACACAACCATTCGTGGCGGCCTCAGGGTTAGAGAGATATGGACCTGAGTTTCTTGAGGTTCCTCCCACCCAACGCCGCCACTTGTTTGGTGTGCAGAATTGGTCTAAAAATCTTTCATCTGACATGGGAACCGACTGAAGCGAAGTCGTGTTTTGGGGAGTATAGAAGGCAATGGAAAGGCTTCTAGCCCCTGAAGCAAAGGAACGCCTCCTGATGTCCTGAAGGGACGCAAACATAAACACCATCCAAACACCTTGTGCTCCTAGAAGCTTCTTGTTCCTAGTAGTATGGCCAGGAGCTACTAGTAGCGTCCTTGCTCCTAGTAGCGATGCCCTTTGCTCCTAGTAGCGAACATTGTTCCGCCCTGTACTTTTCCGCCCCAACGTCGCAGGCGAGGTTCTCGACGCGGCAGCTGCGCTGTGCCGCGTCCGTGTGCAGCAGGGAGATGAAACGCTTTGGAAAGCGAGGCAGGGCAATCATCGGGAATGACTTCAACACTCAGGGAGAGAAGAATGGGAAGAACATGAGAGAAACAGTAAACTTCATTGAACCCTTCCAGGAACATGAAAATTATGGACAATCTTTGTGAACGGGGGATACTAAGTTACTAGTCTTCACAAAACACATCTGTATAGATTTGCATCACGTGATTTGCTGAAATTCGCACATGTTTTGACTTGATTTGAGTAGATACCTTTTGGCCTTGTCAGGGTGCCAGAAGCAGATGGCAAGCTGGATACTGCAGAAGGCTGGGAACTGCGCGGAGAGTCCAATGCCTCACATTATTCTTAAAGAGATTCCTGATCCACAAGTTAAGCTTAACTTATATACATATTTCAATTATAGGTTTTGCAATTTTTGGCATAGCATTATATATAGTTATGCATCCATCATGAATGTTTTTCTCTAGCAGCCAATTGCACTAGGCCACCAACGCTTCACAGGTCAAGATTCAGACATGGCGATGTGCAATTGAGGTCCAAATAACCCAAATTTAGCATGTGAATGCACGTGATGCAATTGCAACCAACCCCTCACGCAGCCCTGAGGTGAGCCCTCCTAGCATGTGACGCTTGACGCAAAGTGGCAGTTTTACACAGTGAATTGAACGTGTTGGAAAGTTACCATCATGAATGGTTTGCGTACTATTTGAGCATATTAGGCTAACTCATCAAAGCGCATTCCAGTGGGCATGGGTTGAGGAAGGCTGACGTGACGAGAACTGGACTGATTTGGGTTCTTGAAAGAGTCTTTGGACGGATCTAGTGTACTGATTGCATTTTATTTAGGAACGTTTCAACTCTGATAACTCTGCACAGCTGGGTTTGACATGGGCAATGCAAATATTGTTGCACAATGTATTCTGCTTGCAGCAGACTTTTTGAAGGACTTGTTGTGCTTGAATGCCCCAGGTTGCCAGTGAGTTTGCCTTGCCAGCACGGGATCAAAAGACGCGCTTTTGTGCAAAGCAATCGCCCGTGGTTTTTTACCCATCACCGCATTTCAATATGTTCACTTGGACATGGCTCTTGGGATTCAGTTCTGCGCATGGCGGTGCATGGTAGGAGGTGCTATGAAATACAAATCATATAGAATATTCTGGCGTTGTAGAGGTTATCCCAAGATTGGTAGTGATCTGCCGTCAGACGGGCTTTTGGCTCAAGAAAATTCGAGAAATCCTTTGACCTGGACTCCTGGACGCCGTGACTATGTCTGATCAAGTTGCCTTTGGTGCACGCCCGAGGGTTTCCGCCAACAGCTTTGCAAATGGCTCCAACCAAAACTGCGGGAACGCGCTGGGCGACATCCCCACCACCCGGGTGGCAGCACCTCCAGGAGGGAAGTCTTCGATTTCTTTGGGCTGGGACCCAGCCCCAGCTCCAGCACGCGGCAAGGGAGCAAGCCGTGGCAGCCCGAGCCCTGATGGGCCTGGTGCACCTGGTTTTGGTGGCGGGCGCCCTGATGGCCCTGGCCCTAGCCCAGCACAAGTGCCGTGTGCAGGGCGTGCTCGCCCTCCGGACGAGGTTTATGGAGTGAGGCCTCGTGAGAGTTCCAACAGCTATGCCAGCGGGAACAGCCAAAATACAGGCAATGTCCTCACTGGGGTGTCCACCACCCGCGTGCTGCGGCCACCCGGAGGGCATTCAGAGATGAGCCTGGCTTGGGATACAAGTTCAGCAAGTCAGTGCCCTCAAGCCCCTCAGCGGAGAGGTGTCGGTGCGAGCGGCGGCAAAGGCGATGCTTTTGGGCAAAGGCTTCGGGTCTCCTCCAACTCCTATGCCAACGGAGCTGATCAGAACTGTGGGAATGTGCTCTCTGACACTCCAACCACTCGAGTGTTGAAGCCGCCTGGTGGTGGTAGCAGCCTGAATCTTGGCTGGTCTTGATCTGAGAGTCCTGAGCATTTTCCCGGCTGGTCTCGCCACAAGGTTGCACAGCAACCAAATGAATCTGAATTGAATTGACCCATCCAGAACTGGCCCAAATATGCCCAAATTGAGATAGAACAGCTTTGCCTGCATATCGACTGCAAGCTGCAAATGCAGCATCTAGTAGCCTGGGGGAATAGAGCAATTGTGACGAAATGACGCTTTGACAGTCGCACTTCCAGCCTAGTTGTGATGGCTTGATCAACTTGATCATACTACTGCCGGTCACCAGTCGCTAGTCTTGTTTTGCTGAGGTGCTGCATCTGCTGATTTCAAGGATGCTCCACCACCAGGCTTGATCGTTGGATGGATGGCTGTCTCGAAATTGCTGATGATATCCCTGCTGAGCTGGTACAGCAGCAAGGGCTGGCAAAGAGGAATCACGATGCCCACTCTTGCATGAAGGTTTGTTGTTGAACTAGGTGGTCAGACATGGACCATGTCACAAGAACGTGTTTGGAAGGTGAATGGAATGTGTATGAATGTGTGATGTGTGCTGTGTCCGCTTTATTTATTATATAGTACTGACATGTACTGCTGACTTGGTAATTTGAATGTGTCATTTCATGACATGTTAGGTCCTCCACCTCGACGTGGTGGGAGTGTGCCCAAAAGACCGCAGGCTCCGCAGGCCCGAGGGTATGCAGAGCGATTCCGAATTGGCCAATGCCGCCAGCCTCCAAAGAATATTTATCGTGAGTACTGTGGCATGGCGGAATGGACATAGCCAGATTTCCAACGGTTTGCCGCATCAATGGGCTTGAAGTGAACTGCAGTCCATGAGCGCCAGTGTTCAGGTTCCAGAGCAGGCAGTGAGGCGCGGTTCATTTTGGGTCAGTCGGACTGTACTCATTTCGTCACCAACTGCAGTAGTAGAAGCGAGGCAGATTTGACCGTTTGATTGCAACGATTAATGTGCAGGAACTTTCCCCTAGGGCTCTCTATCCGAGAGAGGAACTGCCAGGCATTGCCAGGCTATCCATTTTGCGTTCATGGGAGCTATCGCTTGCAGCAGTGGAGGCATTTTCAACTTCCGAATCTTCCGAATTGTTTTCTACCTATAGTAGCAGCATGTAGCAGCCAATTCCAACTTCGGCTACAGTGACGCGCTGTCTTTGGCGTTGTGATTAGGACTACGAGCCGTCCGAGCTCTTCTGAAAGCCAGGAGGGTCAACGATCTAATCATATAGTTGATGGCATGATAGAGCGCATTTTCGCAGCCATAGCACCCTTTCACCAAGCACAAACTGACACAACCCCCACCTGAGATGGATTTGATGAGGTAAAGTAAACAGAATCCAGTGCTACGCGAACATCCGAGGAGCCTGGTTGCCCCCGGTGCGGCAGACAGTTGACCGGAAGAGCTTTGGCAGGGCTGCTCAGACCCACATCCAATCGAGACGATTCGTTCGATAGCATCGTTACGGCATCGTTTGGTATCTCAACATTTGCGCACCCAGAATCTCTTGATAGAGGATGTGGGCATTGTAGTATATATTAGCATGCAATGGACAATGTGCGACTTCAGATTGCTTGCAAAGGGCAATCAAAAAGATCCCGTGATCCAACTTGCCAAGGTTATGCACCTGAAATCCTGTGGCATCACACGATCGCGGGGGGACCCCTTCGCGTGCGGATTCCTGGCATAGACGGAGGTGATGATGTATTACTTACTACACGTCAAACAGTTTGGCATTGCGTATGTTCAACGCTGTTTAAGACTGTCGCGGTCAGTGTACTTGTGCTTGAGAGAAGCATTCCTGCCCAACCCGTGTTGTGTGATCCAAACCCTGTCGAGTTTGGAATGGATATATCGGCACGTATCATCAGTCAAATCAGACTGTAAAGTTCACCGAGAATTTCCTTTTGACAAGCTATATTATATTCAGTACCTCAGTACTAGTACTTTTAATAGTCAAAAAAGGTCTTTGCATTATCGCTGGAGGCCAGAGTCCGAGCGTGGGAACTCTGCAGGTGCGGTGTGGGGAGGGAGAGAGCTGAGCAAGCAGCTGCTTTCAATTGCGTTTGGTCCAAAACATGCTGCACTTCCAGAGGTTTCAATTGGTTGGAAATCTCAGCAAAGAACATGTTTCACCGGGTTCTGATCACTTTCAGAATTGTGCGTTGTTGGTTGCGAGCTTGTTTTTGGTGATAGACTTTCCTGTAGGCCAGAGCCAAAGCAGAGGAGCTCTCAACACAGGGAATGCGCTGTGGCTGCAACAATAAGGGCACGAAAGGGCACCCCAACTTGGAGAGATTATATAATGACTACAGTATGATCTGTGCAGAGCACCACTCAGAATTATTGAAATACAATGAAATACAATGCAATAGAACGAACATGGAAGTGGACACATGTGGGAATTAGTAAAGCATGCGGTGCCAGTTCGCTACTGCTTGTTGTGTTTTACATCTACCGCCGAATCAGTAGCCGAATCATAAGCAAATGCAGAACGGAACCCGCGTGTCCACAGGTCAAACAGAACATGCATGATATGCATGCTCCATTTGCATGCCATGCCCATATTGACATTAAATACAACCGCGATTGTTTTTTAATATCAACTATGGCAAGGCTCGGTCATCACCAGCTCCTGGAGTTGGAAAGAAGGTGCGCTCAGCATTTGGAGGTTTGCCTTGTCTACGGCAACATACACTAATTTTCCCTGATGTGCTTTGATCGCAGACCAAGCAACCTCATCTAGAAACCAGCAACATCCCTTGGTGGCATCAATGCCCGCGATCTTGGCTCTATCCGCTGACCGGTTATTGAATACCTTTGGAGTCCTTTTAGATGTTTGAAGATGGCTACGCCGCTGAACACGGCCTGGCAGACTCTCATTGGAGCTGGCTATGGGCCGGAAGTGGTGACGCAGCTCCGCGCCTTGGGACCTCAACAGCTCCAGGAGCTTGTGACACAAGGCTCCAGCAGTTCCAGCGCAGGCGTTGTGGCAGTTCAAGCTGCCTGGCTCCTGTGTACCCGGCACCCGCCTGGCTCCTGCCCAGATTCGACCGGGTTGGTCGACCTCACAACTTCTCCTTCCCATGCCGTGGGCGTCCGAGCCTTAACGGCACTGCTGAAGTGCGACTCTGCACGTTTGGTTCAGGTAGTGCCCCAGACCAGCTCCGCCCTCCGCACCGTGGCCTTCCAAGCCCTGGCTCGGTTGGGTCATGGCTCCCTCCGTGGACTCGTGACACCTGAGCTGCTGGCGAGCTGTGAGAGGCACATTGCCGCCAAGCTGCTGCTAAAGGGTTCCACTGAAGACCAGGCTGCCTTGGCGAAAGCTCAGTGGCCAGGCCAGGGTTGGCACACATGCATTCAATTGCATTCATGCCCAGTGGAATGGAACCATTGTAGTGGAATGGAACCATTGTCAAGAATTTGCATTTGAAGAGTGAAGAGTCATGAAAAAAATATTCTAATTTGACTACTGTATATAGTTATGTACAAGTTATGTTATATATTTAGTTTTGAATACGTAAATACATATACATATATATATATATTGCAATTAGTGCAGATAAGTAGAAAGATGTGTTCATATAATGTAGCAAGTGTTGGGTGCAGCTGGCACGCCTTACTCAGGTTTGGCTTCTTCGGCGTCCTTCAAGGCGGCCTTTTCCTTGGCCGCACGGATGCCATTGCTCGTGCTGCAGCTGCTGTCCAGCACGATTCCGAAGCATTGGCAGAAACAGCAAGTTGCTCAGGTTGTATCCGTTGCCGTCGCTTCATCTCCAGATGCAGCAATGACCATCTTAGGAGAACTTGCAGATCTTCCGAAAGCATTCTTTTCAAAGGGCTTTGCCATTTGCCTGCTGAAGGGACTTGCCAAAAAGCAACCTGCAGAGACTTTGCAAGAATTCCGCCGCTGGCTTCCAGCCGATGTGAAAGTCCGCTTGGGAGATGCAACACCCTGGGGTGAACTGCTCACTAGTTGTGCACAAAGAGCAGCAAGAAGAGGCCAGAATCTTTGGCATGTGGCCATTGAACTTGCGACAGAACTTGCTCGACTTGATTCGCTGGCAGCGCCTGCCCTGTTCAATGCTTTGAAGCTGCCAAAGGGAATGGCATTGTCCCACGAACAGTTGCGAAGCCTCTTCGGCATCACGGATCTCGGTCACTTGGGCCCGTTACTTTGTCCCTTGCGGCGAAGCACGGCTGAAGCAACGTTGGATGCGGCTTTGTGCCAAAAACTGTCAGAGACCAAAGACGTCTCTTCCGCTCGGGGCGAGGTCCACAGCTTAGCCCAGTGGACACCTCAGGCACGAAAGCGGCTGGCCAAACGGCTTGCTACCCCAAAGCCGGAGGAAGTAGCTGGTGCTCCACCATCCGAGGACCGAGGTTAGCTTCTTTGAGAGTGTGAGGTTAGTTGAGATAGCATTTAAGCGCAGAGTTCATTGATCCATAAAATTTGTATCAAATTACTTTTGAGGACTACCTGGAGATTCTGAGCTGGCTCCCTGAAGAGGTCGAGGAGGTCAAGTCTCGTTGCAACAGTTCCAATGGCCAAGCACGCGAGGCCGGCTTTAAAGCGCTCATCCGCAATGCTGCCCGTGAAACTCCCAGGACCAGTGAGGCCATTGAGGAGGCCTTGCACTTCTTTGAGCGGCGCTTGAAGAACGAACAGGATGGGGCCTTGGAATCGCTGGGGATGGTGATGCATGTCGTGATATTATTCGACGGTTGAGCGTATCATCTTCGAAGACATGTAGTATGCTGTAGTCTTGTTGAAGCATGGTTATACATTTAAGGCTTTTCCAATCTAGCAATCCAAACGTTGCACTATGTTGCACTATTAGCGGACAGTGTATATATACTACTGACTAGTAACTTAGGACTTGTCGGACATACATGCCAATTCCAAAAGCCTATGTCATCAGGATTGATCCAACATTGGCATTTCCTCTTGAGGCCTATGTCATCAGGCCACAACCATGATATTCATAGAAATATGTATGAGGTATTCAAGGAAGCAACACATAGTCGCGCCCTATGTCACCACTGTGTCACCAGAGTGCCAGGCAGTGGTATCTAGCATTATTTAGCTGTTTTTTTACATTTTTTGTCGAGGAGGTGTCCACAGGTCCTATGACACCAGGTTTCCCAACCCAGACATTTTTTTTGCTCGATATGTCAGGGCACATGACTTAGCCCTGGGGGTAGCCAGATTGGTATGTCACTTGCATCACGTTGGCCTAAGTCATTAGACAGTAGTATATATATAACTTTATAACCCTATACATATATGTGTGTGTATGTTTTTAATGTTTTTTTTGGTTTTAATGTCATCAAAGTCTGCATGGGTCACCACCCTGTCGACTCAACTGTTTGTGGTGAGGACAATATACGCGCAGAGGTCTTGCAGCATATGCAGGATGTTGTGCCCCTTCGTTCCTGGAGCCCTTCACATGTGGAGCCTTTAAGGCGGCTTTTAATGTTCTCCATGCAGGCGAAGGGTAGCAGTGCTTTGTCCTTGCAAGTCTGGGCAAATGTCCTCGAGGCCAGATACAATGTGCCGAGCGAGAGGTGCAGCCTGCACAGGACATGTAAATTGCAACATGTGACATCACACTTTACATGGCATTTTCATGGAAATCGGGCACACATTTAACGCCGGCAACAAAGGTGCACACTCCATGTTGAGAAACAGACTTCACTACATGACACTATGCATGACTTGCACATGCATGCACACACACAAAAAGCTGCAGACAATTACCCAGTGTTGAAGACACTTGAAGTTCATTTGCCATATCCAGGTTTATTGGCAGAGCTCTTATGACTGACGAGCAACGATGAATCCCCTGCCAGTGAAGCAACAATGAATATTAAGGTACTTATTAAGGTTTGGTGCAACTGAAGTGATGTTGTACCCAAGGGCGGGGAACATGACTGGAGCAAAAGTGTCAATGTAACAAACATGTCACTGTGTGCTTGGTGGTGCAATGTCACGACTGCCCACGATGGTCGCGTTTGACTTCATTTCAACCTCCTAAGTCCAACAGTCCAACAGGATTGTTCCAGGGCACGTGCATGCTCTGACCAATGGTTGTATGTATTACTAATTCCATTGTATATCAGCTCACACGCTGCATGCGGAGCTCGGTCTCAACGAGCCCCTCCTGGTTGCACTCGACACATCCAACTAAGTGTTCAGGCAAACGCGACATTTCTACATTGCCTTTGACAGGTCTTGCTGGCTCACGGGGTCGCCATGGCAAGCACCAACGAAATGAATGCTTGCGGTGCCCTTGGACTTGAAATCCTGGAGCAGCTCCAGGGGGCCGCAGTTTGCAGCAAAGAGATTCTTGCAAACATGCACTTCGGCACCAAGGTTTTTGAGCGCCTCGCTCGGCTGGAAGATCAAGAAAAGTCTGCAGCCTTTGGAACTCACGGCCTGGATTGGTTGGTCTTGAGGTTCTTAAGGCCTGGCATTGAAGATCTGCTCAAGAAGGGCCAAGTCCAAGTGGCGGGCCAGTGGCTGGTCCGATGGGATACCACAAGCTTGACATTGGAAAAAGCCAGGATGGGCCGAGTGTCGTTCAAATTCATCACGGTCCGTCACTTTTCAATGCATTGAGCACGGCCAACCCTCCCATATCCGGATCCATGAAAACTTGGCCCTCCAGTCAGTGTTTCTTCAGCAGGTGAATGAAGAGGAGGGGGAATGAATTGAATGAAGCACCGAACTTAATCAACTCCGGCCAGGAGAGGCAGAGGGAGCGAAAGCATGATTTCACCAGCTTTGAGGTCACTCTTGCGGGAAGGCTTCAAAGCTGTGCGGGATGCCATGGGCAGTTGGTTCACCAGTTCGAGAAAGACTCTCGGTTTTGCTGCTTGTTACGTCGGCTCAGGTCGATGTTGGCTCAGGTCGATAACATCGGAGTAGGCTACCCCAAGACCACTTTGCTGCAGATGTGTCAGGGATATGTGATGTTCTTTCAATTTTGGATTTTTTTGTTTCGTCCCGGTTTGCCATAATGATGATTGTGCCTAAGTTTGGAATTTCTAGCCAGGATGCAGGAGTTGATCCAGGAGTGCCTCCAGTGGGACCTAGAAGTGACGGCAACAGAGCGGACTGCTTGTCAAGTGGAGGCGCTCCAATTCTTATGTCAGATGTGCATGAAGTCGTCTTTGATGCGTGTGATTGACTGGACCTTGTGCACCCAGACCCCGTGGCATGTAGGCTATGCTTTTCAGTGTCTAGGCGCGGAATCAAGACAGTTTTATCTAACTAGTTCATGTATATATATATATATGTGTGTGTGTATGGTATATGTGTGCGTTATAGTTGTTTGATCGTTTGCTTGGGACTACAATCCTGGGTAAACTCTTGGTTCAATCCATTCAGCATGTTTCAGCACCCTTTCAAGGTTCTTGGCTGGGCATAGAGGCCTTTGGCTGCACAAACATGACCCGCAACTGCATAACGAACTTGTGAGGGCACTTTGCTGCAGCTGGCAATGGATGAATGAGCGGCAGCGTTATGCCTTTGTACACCATGTTGTTAGAGTTGGCAAGGGCTGTTGTGGCTTCGGTTTGAGGAGCTTGGTGGAATGTCTATGGACCTGGCACTTTCGTTTGGATGTAGAGCAGTTCACAGCCCAAAAAATTAGACTTCGAGGCTCTTTAGAGAACTGCCTCCCCAAAAAGAGGCAGAAGAAAGTCATTGTTCAAAGTCTGATGGAGCACTGGGCCAGAGCGCCGCTGGAGGTCCGCTTGGATCTCCTTTGTACTTCATCGCTTTTGATGCGCCGACTGCAATACAAGGCTGAATCCATGGAAATGCTTTTGCCAAGTGGCCCTTGTTCAAGCAAACTCTATCACTTCAGAAGTCTTATCATGGACTCCATCCCCTTACATTTCTTTGACCGCTTTTCGGCTGATCAAAGCTGTCCTCCCTTTTTCGCTTGGTCTCAAAGGCTGCAGACTGCCTTTGCAGATTTCTGGCTTCTTCCAAACTTAACTGAGCAAAGTGTGGGGCTTTCTTTAAGGCCAGGTCAGAATGAAAAGATCTTTGTCAGATGTGCCCAGCTTCTTTTGGCATTACCTCATGTTGATCCAAAGCCTTTGGACAGTTTCGTGAATTTTTGTGCCTCAACACAGGGGCAACAAGGGTCTTCAGGCACTGCAGAGCTGTCAACCGAACAGGCTTTCCTTCGTGGCAGCGGCTCGGTTGATGGTCGATTCGGGCGTAGTATGGCGTAGTATATGTGAGGTGTACATATATATATATATACATTTTGCATATAGAGAGAGAGAGGCCCAACAATGATCAACAATGTTTGTTTTGGGGTTCCCAACATTTTGGCGTTTGATCAAGCCAGAAAGGAGCAACATACTAATATGTCACACATGCTTTAATAATTATAGCATATTTTAGTATGCCCGCAGGATTTTGTTGACGTCTCAACTCCCTTTGTTTTCTTTACATGACACTCAGGTTGTGGTGCGCTGTTGGACCAGCTGGTGCTCGTAATGGCCGCATGTGATCAGCCAAAGTCCATTTTGTCGACTTTCCAGCGTCAGCTAGGCAAAGGTGTCTCAAAGCAAGTGGCCCGGAGCTTTGTACGCCTTTTGGGGCGAATGGGGGGCCGGGAGGCCTCTGAATTGGTGCTCCGCACCACGCCGCTTTGATACAAAGGGCAGGGTGGAGGGTGATTGGCAGGGCTGAAGCCCTATGACCAGTGAAACACTCGCTCATTACTTGGATTTTTGGAGTGTGGGACAGTGGGACACTGTGCAAACCAAGGACTGGCCAGGCATTCTTAGGCTTGAAGGTTGCAGAGCAGGTTGCGATGGTCCGATTGATGGGCAAGTTCCTGGGAGAATCTGCAGTGGAGCCGTTGAAATCCATTTGGCAGAACAAGTGTCATCGGGATGTCGGTGGCGCTGTCCTGACCCAGCTGTGCCACAGAAAGGTCTCTTCCAAAGCATCAGCGGAGCTGCTCAAGGATGCCTTCATAGGTGCCAAAGAAGGCCGGGAGGAAGTCTTGTACCCTGTCCAGGTCACACTGAGGAATTTGTGTGGCTCACCTTGCGATGACATGGTGGCAGAGCTTTTGCTTCCACTATGCAGCTTGGACACCCTAATGGAGTTTACCTTTGGTGCTTTTGCAGCTTGGGCCAAGAGTCGGCAAGGTCCAGATCAAGTCTTGGCAGCTCGAGTAGCTGCTGCAATCACAGATGCTTTGTGTAGGAACCCACCGACCTCCGTCCCGGTGCACACTGATAGAGCGACGATCGCCGCAACGCGGTGCTTGGTGGACTTGGCAACCTGGACAGTGCAGTTCATTGTTCTGGGGGGGCCTATTATAGATATAGTTTGATAGTGCTTTGATTTGATTATTTTGATTTCAGCGGCCAGAGGCCGGCCTTTTCACGAGTCAACCACTCATTCATGACACATAAACCGAACCATTCTGAATCATTCTATATAATATGTAATTGAAGGCAAGGAGGAGGAATGCCTAGAGGGGATGGTTCAGACTTCCTGACTTTGGATTCGCTGAGGCAACCTTGGACCCCAGTTACCTCAAGGCAGCCCTGTCTCGGCTTTCAGAGACTGCGGCCAGGCCGTGTCGTTTGGCGCACAGGCGCCTTGACATCATGGTGCAAGAGTTGCGGCGCTCGCCGCAAGCGTCTTTGGCAGCTACAACGCTGTTGGAAGGGAATGCGTGCGCGGTCAACCGGGGACTCATGCCCTGGGCCTTCCATCTCAGCTGGGAGGATGGGAAGAAATTGTTGGAAGAGTTGAGTCAGCTGCCTGCAGCTGTAGTTCAAGAGCCACTGTATTTCAAGCAGATGGTCAGATGCTGTGTCGAATCTCTGAAATCCAGGAACGCAACTGAGGAAGAACTTGAGCAGACAGCTCGGATCTTGGCGGGATCCGAGGTCGGACGATGGGCAGACGCTCGTTTGGTGATGTTGATTGCCATGGCTCAATGTACCAGCAGAGCCTACGAATCTTTGGAGGCGGCCTTGACCACAGCTGGCCCCCTGTCCAAAGCAGTTCAACTGATCCTAACTGACGATTATTTCTCTCTCCTGGTGCCTGGTAGTGGTCAGGAAGTCCAGGACAATGAAGACGATTTTTGTGATGATGATGAGGAGGAGGAGGAGATTGAGACAGTGTGAACATGTTGCACATGCCAAGGCAAAGCCTTGCCAGTCCGAGCTGGAAAGGGCAACATGAGGTTCTATGTGGGCATGGGAGAGAGAAAGGACTTTGAGAGTTGAATCGAAAAGAAAAAACTATTCCACAGGGCCCACTTGAAGGCCATTGCACTTCTTTTTTTGTGTGTGTGTGTGTGCGCCCTTTGAACCCAATAGCATTCCATAGCAGCAAGACATGCATGTACACACTCGCACACATATTGTTGGGTATAAGGAGGCCGCGCCGCCCCGCGCGCCACCTCCACCATCGTCACCACCGGTTCCTGTCAGGACCTTAGTTTGAGAACAGGTATGGTTTTGGTGTAGGCACTTCCAGGCGGGGTTACTAGTAGTTGACGTCAAGATAGAAACAAAAAGGTTTTTGGACTCCTTTAATCAGGTCCCCTTTGAAGAAGGCCTTCTTGAAGAGACCCAAACAACGAACACCTTTGCCGTCGCTTGTCAACAACTCTCCCTGAAGAGATTCGTGGGTGCCTGACTGCGCGTGGCCTAGTAGAGCTATGCTATTCATGATCCTTACCGTCCAGAAAGAGAAAACAATAGATAGAGAGAGATAGAGAGAGAAAAACACAAAACAATGGAGTTATTGCCTTGGTTCATTTTGCTTGGTTCATTTGACCAGGGATTTAACATCCATCACCACCACGCATAACTAAGATGGAAAGAAAGCCCTTAAAGATCGGTAGTGCGTTACAGCCAATAGCCAAAAGGATCTATTGTCGAGCATGTTGGTCACTGTTGGATCATAGTTCTCAGGCAGTTGCTTCATCCTCCCGTGCTCAGTCACCGCCAGTGCCCGCAGTTGGGGGAACTTAGCCTTAGGTCCTTAGGTGTGGGGGCAGGGTTTGATTGTGCTTTCCTGAGTTGCGTGCGCATGTTGGTGAACATTGTCAAGCTGGGGCCGACAACATTCCGAAACATGACACAGTCAGACCGCAAATCCTCTCTCCTCTCTCCAAACACGCCAAAGGCAACTTTCACCATTATGGTTTACCAACTTCAACTGTGTAATACTGTATGTGCAACTATATAGTTTGGAATTTAACTTCCACAGTCTTCAAATCTAAAGGTCACCATTCGATTTCTGACTATACAGACTGACACCGGCTCACAGAGCTTGCGGATGCTGGTTTTGAGCAAACACGCAACGATCCCGGAGTGATCCTTTGACGGCCTGTGGTGACCAATTTAGCGAACAAGATTATTAACGGCAGGAATTTCATGCTGCTGAGTATCGGAATCAATTCTCGTAGGTTTGGGCCAACCGTATTGGGTACCGATATAATTATCATGGTTGACCAGCTGATTCACAACCATTGAATCCCATGTAGCTTTCTGACTTAGTGGCATTGCCAGTATTGTGCTTTATTTGCATGGATTTTCTAAGGATATCACCAATTAGGCAGGGAACACAAAGAATAAGAAGGCCCGCCGTTTAGCAGACCGATGGTTCCCTGGACCGAACGACGGTCCTAGGCAGCCTCGCGGGCACAATCACCACCAGTTCCTGCAGGAGTCTCAGAGTGGCAGCAGGATGACAATCAAACAGTTGGCGAAGAACTCGAATGAGAATGAGGAGTGATGGATGTGAAACTCATGCGTTCGGTTTAGTTTGTTTCGTTTGGCGCTCCCAACAGGCAGCTGCGGCATTTGGACCTGCACGTTCAGGGGCGCCAGCAAATGCACGGGTCTCATTCTGGAAAGCACACACGGTCGAACTTAGTGCTGGGAGTGTTTGAACACCATAACTAAAACGTGCCTTTGAAAGTATCATGTGTTGTTTATATAATTTTATATATATACAGTATATTATGTGTGTTTGTTGGTTGGTTTGTTTGTTTGTTTGTTTGTTTGTTTGTGTTTTTTAACAGTTTTTGTTTATGCTCGTTCATGTTGCTTTTGAAGAGGATGCCTGCTAATGCATGTATGCCTGGAACATCCTAGTACAATGGCCCCCAACTTGTTGGCTATGTGCGCTGCTTTCTTTTCTTTGGCTCTCGTGATCAGCATCAGTTGTGGCCCAGGTACTGCAAGAACCTTCGATGGCCTTTGATGATGAGGTGGAGCTGTTAAATGCAATTGATAAATTTGATAAAGGTGCTTTTAAAACATAGATTCACATTCTGAGTAGTTTAATGCTTTTGCGCCGACCTCTACCTGCAAAGCCTTCCATTGCATAGGCTCATCATGGCCACAAATGCGATATCAAGCAAACCCTACTCAGCCCTACTCACAACTTCTCATGCAAAAGAAATTGCACAAAATCGGGGGCAGGTTTAATTTGAAGGTGATGGGAGGGAGAAAGCAAGGGAAGGAAGATGAAGGAAGCAAGGGAAGGAGAAAGGAAGGGTGGAAGGGTGGGAGAGACAGAGAGAATGGTACGCTTGGACGCCTTTGGACACAACCAGGGCCCGGTCGGGCCGGCGATCCCTGCCAGGGCCCGGTGGAACCCATGGCACCTTGTTCTCATTGCGGGCGAAGCTTCAGGCGTTGGTGGTGTGGCCCAGGTGTACAACACATGGCCCAGCAGAGACAGGGCTGCATCTTCGCATTATTTTGATGCTGTTGACCCAGGGTTGCTGTTTTTCTAAGACCTGTTTACTTCATCGTAGGGGAACCACAAGCAACCACAAGAGGCGACTTTGAGCAGAGAGACATTGCTTTTACTTGCCCTTCGTGCTGTTGTTTTAGATGCCAATGACATTGAGATCCTTTGGGCTGATAATATGTGCTGATCCCCCATGCTTCGACACCCCATTCTGGTCTTCTCAGCATCGGAAGGGAGCTCAGCTTCTTTTGCAGGCAATCTGCCTTGGCACGACATGTGGGCATTTGTCAGAAAGTCTTCCAAGAGAAGCGCAAGGCCACTGGGCACACCTGCTATGCAGCGCCCAATGTCGTTCAATTTTTGTTCAATTCTGTTCGAGGCATGGTATGTGGACATTTGCTCCTTTGAACAGCTTTCGTAGGCTATATCGAAAGATGGTAAGGTTTGAAGCTCCATCCGTCCCAGTGAAGCTGATTCGGAATTTGTAATTGTGTGTGTTTCTTGGTGCTGGTTTTCCCGCTTTGTGCTACACAATGCCCACTCTCAGCAACATCGCGCGCACGCAAGCGGCAAGCAGGTTTTTAATGCAGCGTGCGGCTCAGGGTGTTTGGGTTTGGCCCAGCAAACCAGCTCCAAGCTTCAGTGAGTGCATTCTGATTCTAAAATGCGGATGACTTGGCCTGCTGTTCAGCTATTCTTTTAGGCTTTTTCCAGGGCAAAGCACTCAAATACATCAAATACATGGTCAGACAATGTCAGACATTCCATTCCACAATGGCGGATTCCATGTGCAGCACAGGTGTTGCCTTTGCTCAGGTCAAGCATGCTATGCCAGATGAAGCTGTAAAGGCTTGGCTTGGGTCGCTGGGACAGGGGACATGTGACAATGCGACCAGAAATACATCCACCCACCTATCACCCATTGCCCGAGCCAATTCTTTCAAGTATATATTTATATTATATATATATATTTGTATTTATTTTGGATGTCCTTCGTTAAGGCCGTTCCTGAATCACAAAGCTTTTAGGTGGCAGAGGTTCCAAAGCAACCCGTAGCTCATGTTCCTTGATACTCTGAAAGAGATTCTGGGCCGTGTTCACGACAGCCAAAACTCACAGAAGTGCTTGGTGAGCTCCTCAGGCCAAGAAAGCTCACGAACGCTTGGTGCGCTGAGCAATGGAGGGCACTTGTCACACAGAACTGAACGGGACCCACTAACGCTCGGCCACCGCTGATCATTTTCTTGGTGCGTTCTTTTGTTTTTTTGAGTGCAATACACGGGGTGCAGTGGACGAGATGATGGCAACTATTCACTACATTGTAGCCTGTGAATTGCATTTTGTTACATATATTAATATATATAGCTTTCCAACATAATATGGAAATGTACACATGGGCGGGTCCCCTGGATAAATAGATGGTATTATATTTATATATATGCATAGCATGAAACAGCCGAGCTGTGAAGTCACCGAGATGACGTGACATTGCATGTCTCATACTGATTCTGTGTGCCTCCGCCAGGAAAAGCAAGAGAAACGGCAAGGACGCTGCAATCCCGATCCGGAATCGATACCAATGTCACTGTATGAGGCAGTCTTAAGTGATGATGCAGCCTGCATGTTCAATTCCCGGTATCCCCTCCAAAGCTCATCCGAGTTTGATAAACATATGCATGCTGATGGCATGCTGCATTCGTGTTTCCCTTGTTGAGAAGATTGATTTCGCAGATCATTGCCCAATGATAACGTGTAGCAGTGTAGCACTCCCATCCAATCTCTGCCCACTAGGGTGGGTGATGTTGTCCACCAGGAGCTCGAGCAGGCCCATCATCAATGGCAAATCACGAAGATCGGCCAATCAATGGCGGCAAAGCAGGTGCGCCACCTGGTCTGTAAAACCAGCCTCCGCTTTTGCTTGGCCTCCCTGAATGGGCGAGACTGGGCCGGAAGCGGCCGCCTGTGGCCCTGAAGCAGCTTGCGGAAGCTGCCTGCCATGTCGTGGCATGTGTCGTTTTTGTGGACCTCAGCGTATGATGAGTTTGCGGCCAAGTGGCCACATGAGAAAGTCAATGTTTGGAATGTGTGCTATTCTGTTACACTGTATCGTGTGCCGCCGTTGCGCGGCACCTTCCAAATACCATTCGTGTCAAAATTGCTCGGAGCATCACTTGGATTGAAATCTCTAACTAAGAGAGGTTTTTCCACCTTGCCAGAGTCAAGTTGGCCTAGATCCTGGCTACGGGGAGCTTACTATATATTTATTCGTCAGAGATGTCCAACAGACCTGGCAAACCTGTAATGTGACTGTCGCAGTTTGGCTGAAATAAATTTGGATCTAGCAGCCTCATGGCATGCACCGCAAACAAGCTATGCGTCCGGACGCAGATGCCGGTCAAGTCGTTGTCGCTGACAGAGCCTTGGATGAACCCGGCCTTGTCAGAGTTTGTCGCACACTGTCAGAGCCGTACGGCTTTTGACGCCTTGAGTCATTGTGAGGCACATGTTCGTTTGTCAGA